TTGTTATGCATTAATTGTTAAATAATGTATTTGCAAAAAATTATTTTCTATATAAAATATTTGTACCTTGCTTCGGGAAATATTGGTATCAATATGTAAATAATTTCTCCATCAACTGTAAATAAATAAGCACTTTTTTGAACATATCTTTTTCTTCCTCAGTTTTAGAGTCCTGTATAAAAGAACTCGAATGTTGATTTTCTTTTATATGAAAGATGCTGGCCCTGGTTGCATTTGAACATTTAACTATTCTGTATGAGGCCCATTTCAAATGCTGAATATTTTTACATGTACTGGACCAAAAGCAAACTGGCAAAAATAGTAGCTAGCTTTTCATCTCATTTGGGCCAAAGAAACACAGAGGCATGAGAAAATCCTCCTGCATGGGGGATTACAGTTACACGTGACGTCCACTTTTAAATCTTAAAATTCTTTTATGCACCCGGGCCCAGAATCTTTAAAATGCTCATGGCAAATTAATTCCCTCAAAGCCTATCAAGGCTGGGTTGTTCTTTACGGTGATTTTTGCAAAATTCTTTTGAAAATAGTTTCAACAGGGAAATTGAATTGTGTTGATTACAAAAATATTCATACCCCATGATGGAAGTTATTTGGCTTTGACCCCTTGCCCACCCCCTACCTCCCCTTTATGTACACAGTTCAGCTGTATTTTCTATCTCCTATAGCTTCTCTCTCCTTGGAAATGTCAGTGAGATTCGTTAGGGTACGTTAGGATATTTCCTGTAAACATTTACACGTTGAAACAATTTTATCAAGAAAAGTAACATTCCACAGAAGGTGTATCAATGCCAAAGAAAGTGGAGGTACTTGATCCATATATGCAAGAGTGAGCATTTCTCAACAGTGCACATACTGTATACATCTTGCCAATAGCACTTAACCCAACTTTAAGATCTTTTTTAAAGTCAAGGAAAGCAAAGTATTCTACAATGTCATCAAAGACCCACTCAACTGAAATTCTAACTTTACTCATGGACTGATTGAATGCCTCTTGCTGTGGTGTCAGGGCAACACCCTTGAAAGGTCCCTGAAGATCTACCCTGAGAGGGTAAGCAGGGTCGCCGTAAATACAGAGGGGTTGACCATTTGGTGATATGGAATGAACCTCTAACATTGGCAGCAAGCCAGACATTGCCAACATACCACTATCATGTCGTCGACCTTTGACTGGACAATACAGGTTCGCAATAAGTCCATTTGCAGCAACAACACTCTGGAATTTAATGCAATGAACCCTTTTGTGTCCATTATAGAGTACTAGCTGGTGAACTCCTGGTCGACACACTGGTCGCACGGTACCGTCTACGAATCCCCAGCAGTTTTCAAGTGCTGCTCCCTTTCGATAAACCGTATCTGCAAACGTTACTAGATTTGCTGGTGATAGCCATGGCTGGTTAAAATCAGTCAGTAAATGACCATGTCGCGCAAAGATTAAACTGATCATTTCATTCACAACCTTGCTGATTTGCGGCACAGCCCTTCCAAATCTTGGTACCAAATCTTCGTATCTACATGGATAAGCAAATCGTCTTAAAAGCATGCAGAGAGCTTCATCACTGTAAACGTAAAAACGGTTTTCACAAACGATTTTCTCAGGGGGATTTAACACTTCGAGAAGAGCGTAGATGTCGTGTTTGAGAAACCGAAATTCGCTCTTGCATTCGGCGTCTGTCAAGGTATCGAGATCGAATTTGTCATATCTCCAGTACGGTAAGTCGAGGTTCTTTGATGAATTCAAGTCGTACAGGAGAAGCAGTTCTTCATCGTCTACGAGGGTCATGTCGTTTGCTAACATAAGTGCATCTCTTGCATCTCTAAAGGTGGCCATTTTCGTACTGAAATACACAAAATCCGCTCCGCGGGTTTACGGTTTTCCCCTTATGTCTGTATTAACATTCGTTAGCCAAAGAAGTTCTTCGCTGTCTGCACTGAAGTTCACATCATTTGCTGTTAAAAACCGTTTTTTTAGTCGCTGAAAGTTCCGATTTTGCCGCACATTAAGCACTTACAAGTTGTAGCCAGGTTAGGGTTTTCCTCTGGTGTTGCGTAAGGTTTGTTTACGTACAGGACGGCAACGTCATAGCTCGCGTGCTCGACCTAGTCCTCACGCGAACACAAGTCGCCGTCCTCTTCGGGCCGTCCTGTTGCGTAAGGTCTCTAATAAAAGATTTGACGACTTATCAGGAGAGGGAAATCAAAGCCGTAACTTTATCTCGAAATTACCTTTAAAACTGTCCACTTGGTCTTCAACTTGTCCGATTGTAGTCTCCCACTTTGGAAGCTGATCTGCACAGGCAAAATGAATATAACGTATGACGTCATGAATGAAAATACACATTAATGAGGATTTGACCCTTCAAGTTTCAAAGGTGGCCAACATCAACTTCCTGCTGTCAACATCCCTACCGATACGGAGGATTGAAGACAATCACAAACGGCGAAACAATATTTTAAACTTGAATGAATATTAAAGTGTGTTGATGAATTAGATACCAACTGTTACCGACATTTTAAGATCACCTTTTAATTTCTGTAGTTGCTGATGGAGAGATTGTGACAGCCCTTGCTCTGTAGGAGAGTTCATGAGCAGCTGTGTTCCTACAAACAAAGGAGCACTTGGAGATTAGTCTACACAGTCCCCTAAACTAAAAATTCGATCTTGACGTGCCAATAACTTGATGGGCCTTAAACCTTTTCCAAAAAGGGTTAAAGAAGTTTTTTTTTTCGTTCTTCAAAATAGCTAGCAAATAGCCGGAGAAACTATTTCTCTCTGTTCATAAGCTAAAGGAATGTCTATCCATACCCTCTGATGGTAGATTTAATAGTTCTATTAATAAAAATTTAACCTAGGGTTATCTGAAAGCTCCGGCAACCATTGAAAATCACCAACCAGTCATTACGGGCTGTATATCCTAGAGGAGTGCAACATCATATAAGGGAACAAAGTATACAACATTTTACTGATGTGACTGTATCACGTGAAATGTACCTTTAGTCTCGTAGTATTTCAGTTCTTCCAGGATTATTGCTTCATTTGCAGCAGGTAGAGCCATGGCTCTCACCAGGTGTTCCATCTCAACAAAACTCTGCTGAAACTTAACAGGATTCCACTTGCCGAGGATACAGTGCGCCCAGTCATTCATGACACTCCTGACTTCACTAGCTGCAGCTTGCACTGCAGCTGAGAACACAGGCACACTACGAAGCAGTGCTAGTAAAACTACGGAATTACAGTGGTCATCAAAAGCATTGAACTCAGCCATAAAGTTTTGTACATAGAGTTTGGCAAAGTCAATGTGAGATAACACTCTACAATCAAACAGGGAAATGTTGTATTTTCCACCAGGAAGCTTTGGGTGATGACTGTTACCATTGATGTTTTCATACTTTAAAAACTTTCTTGCAGGCCACCTTTGAAGACGACCAGATGTACTTTGTGCATGAATATTGTGACTTGTCTTGAGATTGTTGTATTCCTTATAAATCTCTTGTTCCACAAAAGGACGGATCTGTGGCACAAGTATATTGTTGAGTGCTATTCCCACCACAACCCATCTTTTCTGGTTGTCTGTGACGTCAAAGTGGGTTAATCTACAGCATAACAAAGCAGTTGTGGATTACCGATAATATTCATGATCGGTAGAAGCATAGGAATTCAAACCTGCTTGATGAGGCTTCCCTCCCCCTTCTTCTGGCTAGCAATAGCAAATTATTATAATAATATCATAGGTGACGAATTACTCCTTAATTTTGGCGCGAAATTTCAGCGTTAATTTGTAATTTCACAAGTGAAATTACAAAATTGCCATTGTAGCCTTCCGTACGTCTCAGTGTCAAGATGGGGACGAAGTTTTAAAATGCCGTGAATGAAGATGTCAGGGCACAAAAAGACGCTTTAGAAAACCTGAACACACGAGAGAACATCAAGAAGGATTCTAACAGGTATTTTGCCAAAATAGTCTGAAAAATTCTGAACTTTATAAGCCAAATTTAAGGTCTAAACATTTGAGAGAGTGGAGTTCTCGATCGATACGATCCAGGATAAACATGTCAAAAATACAAGATTGCTAACGCAATTCGTCGCCCATGATATTAATAGGTAATCAAATGGTATACTCGTGAAATTAGGGAATAATTTCACTTGCGTTTTGTCCAAATCGTAAAGGCTCGGGAAATTATTAGGATTTGGACAAAACGCGCGTGAAATTATTCCCTAATTTCACTCGTAACCATTTGATTACAAATACTCATTACTGTTGTGAAATTATGGAGGTGGTTGGTTTTTGATTACCAGTGAGTGTCCTAGTCTTCTTCTTTAATACCTGCCTTTTAAATTAATCAACTATATTTAATAAGAACTCCAAAAAGTGGGGACTCTTCGTAAGTTCTAGTTTATAAAGACTAACTGCTATGATGATGTTAAATTTAACTGTGTTAGAAATAAATGACAACATCTCAAAATACAATAGTCGTGCATTCAAAGAATTGTTCAAAATATCGGTCCGTAGACGGACCATTTGTCCGGACAAACATTTGGTTTGCCGGTGATTTTGACCGGGCATGTAAATAAGTGACCAGAAAAAAATACATTTTCACGCCATTACATTCCTAGAGGACAAGCATCTCTTTTCACTTTATAACAAAAATGTAAGCTGAGAGCAAGGAGATTTCATTCCCAGATGAGTAAAATATAGATTAAAAATAAATTAATATAGATGTTTTGCGGATTTGTAACCACAAAGTTTGAGCGATTTGCTAATAGTTCATTCTCTTTCAGTACCGCAGATAAAAAAAGTTGAGCCATAGCGAACTATATTCCTTTCTTAGTTCTGTTGCTCTTCGTATGATATAATTACAGCAGCATAAAACATCACCGAAAAACTTCCTGCGCCTAGAGTGATCGGTCATTTGTAGCGCGCGAAAAATACAGTCACCAAGATAGAGGTTTGTTTCACTGATTGTGCCATGGCTACTGTTTACGCCGCAAAATGTAACAACTTTGACGCAAAGAGGGAGGTTGCCCTATAATGGAGATTTAGTTCCTCTCTGGTGACACCCTTTTGTCTTATTATTTTGACAATAAAGTTGTTATAAAATTAAATTAAATTAAATTAACGCGAAATGAGACAACTTTTGACCCAAATGTAACAAAATTTTCAACGCGAAATGTAAAACGTTTTCGACACACATTAAAACAATATTTTTAACATAAAGTTTAAAACAGCATTGTAATAAATGACGGACTTGGATGAGCCCTGTTGTTGTGTGGTGATAACAAAAACAGATTATTATTTATTAAGTTTTTCGATATTAAATGGAAATTAGTAAACACTGGACCACGGTTATTCGATTTCCTGCATCTTTATTGGCTCAATGGGAGCAGGGTTGACAGGGTTATAGGCCCGTTTCAAACACCGTACTTCACATGAGCCGAATCAAATTCAATGACTTAAGTTCATGCAAAGTACGTCGTCTGAATCAGTTCAAAATATTTAATTGAATTTGGATCGGCTTAGCCATTCTTCACGCCTGGCTTAGCTGGCAATAACGGTTATGGACCGGCGTTGATTCAGTCGCCGAACTTCACATTAGCCGAACAAAATGGAAACAGTTTCCCGACCGCTCGTGTTCCCCCTTTTGAATTTAGCTCTGCTGGAATAAAGATAGGCGTCTGAATAAATTCTTGAGACCTAAATTATTAAGGACCTGTTTACATGGAGGTGGGGGACCCCAGGTAGGTGAGGTAACCCGCTTAGGTGGGGTAACCCGCCTGTCCATATAATCTCTCATTTTATTTGGATCACGTTTCCAACTAGCCTCCCACGCAGGCATTTTTAGGGGAGGGATGAAAGACGAGCTCCCCTAAAAACGCCTCCTTGGGAGGCTAGTTTACAACCTCCATGTAAACAGGCCCTAAATTTGAGATTGCATGTTTTGTTTTCCCATTTCAGACCACGAGATGGTACCCCAGAGAACTGTTTCTTTCAAATGCCGTCTTATGCACGTGCACCCGCGCGCATATTTATGCAAATTAATGAAAGACAAAAGGCCAATTCCCTGGAGAACATCATGTTAAAAGGTCTAATTCGATTCTTCTCATGTGAAGCACGGCGTCTGATGCGGGCCTCATCAACTCATAAACCTGCTGTAACCAAACATGGTAAATGAAATCCTCAAAGAGTCATCTAAAAACTTTAAGCTGAATCCTCTCCCGTGGATCAGTATACACTGAATGACAGAAAAATATCCTTTAGCGGCATAAAGACAAAGTTATTTTAGAATACTGGAATATCAGTGTAGCACTGGGAATAAGTGTACGGGATGAAAGCTATAATGGCATGAAATTACTCAGTCGACCTGGCGACGGCATAAGCGGAATGTGAACGAGTATACACAAGTGCGGCCTTTTGGGCCGACAAAGATCATCCTCAAGCGGAAAGCCTTAAGTGCTATTGGATGTACTGCTTTGTTCTTATTTCTGTTGATATTTTTCTCGCAAATCTTGATATAATCTAACTTGAATAAAATGTGACGAGTAGAGCATACTCCAAAAAAATTTAAGCTATTAAACGTTACTGTTATAGACCACTCCTGAAAATACCATAACATGCCATAATGCTCTTTGTTTGTCACCCCAAAATTTTGCATAAGCATTGTCTTCAGTTTCTCTAGGGAGTTAAAATGGCCCCAAGCAAAACTGAAAACAATGGTTATGCAAAATTTTGGGGTGACAAACAAAGAGCATTATGGTATGTTATGGTATCTTCTGGAGTGGTCAATTGGCCACCCCACTACTTATTAGAGTTCACGTGACAATGTAAGGTATAAGCCTACTTCAGGATTTTTTTCAATGTATGTTTAAAGCGGAAAACTAAAATTCACCACACAACTTGATTTATAACAAAAAAATATATAATTCTTCATTGAATGATTTAAAACTTGAAAAATTTTTCGATTGCAAGGTTGTTTTTCGCTTAACACATGTGAGCAACTTGTTTATGAACTGTACAGCTGCTTTTCTATTACATATCTTGAAAGTTTCTGCGGTTAAGGTGGCTCGATACAGTTTTTCAGGGTCAATACCTACCAAGTTTGAGCATAAACTACGTTACCAAAAACAAAGATTTGGAAAAATTGCCACCACAGTTGTATTAGATAAAGATGAAAACTTTTTTTGATCAGGGTTGCAACGACATCGGAGTTGTCATAGCAACAAAATGACGCTATTACCTATTTTACTTGCAGCAGTATATCTCGATGCTGGGAACTGTTCTTCCAAAATCGTTCATGGGAGCTTTTTCATCCAATAGCGGCCTCGATGTTTGAAGTTTAAGCGAAATCTGTAAGAGCATTATCGAGACATTTTGGGATGCAGCTTTTATGGTTAGAAACACAGTAAAAATAATCTTGATGTTTGGCCATTCTCTGTAGAAAACAAAGCGCGTTTGACATGCAATTTCACCTCACAGCAGTTTCAACCTTTTTAAAAACGTGTGTGAAAGATCATGGAGTTAGCTCCAGCCAATTGCTAGAAAGAAAAGATTTGATTAGTATTTATCAAAGCGCTCTTGTTCACGATTTTGTAAACATTTTGGTCTTCTTTAACAAATTAGCGAATAATTTTTTAACCGCTCGATAGATTTTTTTAAAAATTTAAGATAAGATTAACCTTCCTTTTATGTGACCTTATAGTTTTAAGATTATTAATATATTGTAAGGCACTAAAATAACAGCTACAATTCATTAATTTTTCATCGGAAGTTTCGTCATTACAAGTGAAAGCCTCTCATTATTCAAGGTATTGTCTCCAAGTTTCAGTAACTAAAAGTGCATTTGAAATATGCAAAAATGCTAGCTATTGTTGTGCACGAAAATATGAAACTTGGAGACAATACCCTGAATAATAAGAGGCTCTCACTTGTAAACACAAAATGTCTGACAAAACATTAGCGAATTGTGGCCATTATTTTACTACCTTACAATATATCAACACTCTTAAAACTAAAAGGTCATATAAAAGGAAGGTTAATCTCAAGAATCTTAATTTTTTTTAAAAAATCTATCGAGCAGTTTAAAAATTATTCGCTAATTTGTTAAAGTAGACCAAAATGTTTACAAACCGCTAACAAGAGCACTTCGATACATACTAATCAAATCTTTCTTTCTAGCAATCGGCTGGAGCTATCTCAATGATCTTCACACACGTTTTTAAAAAGATTGAAACTACATGTACTATGAGGTAAAACTGCATGTCAAAAGCGCTTCGTTTTTTACATATAACAGCTGAAGATCAATATTGTCCATTTTTACTGCATTTCTAACCATAAAAACTTTATTCCAAAATATCTTGATAACACTCTTACAAATTTCGCTTAAACTTCACGAACATCCAGCCAGCTATATTTGGAGAAAAAGCTCCCATGAACAATTTTGGAAGAACAGTTCCCAGTGCCAAGAAATACTGTTGCAAGTAAAATAGGTAATAGCATCATTTCGTTGCTATGATAACTGCGACGTCATTGTAACCCTGATCATAATAAATTTTCATCTCTATCTAATAGAACTGTGGTGGCAATTTTTCCAAATCTTTGTTTTTGGCAATGTAGTTTAAATTTATGCTCAAACTTGGGAGGTATTGACCCTGAAAAACTGTATCGAGCCACCTTAACAAAAGTCAAAAAAACTGTTGCTGTTACCGCACAAAATGTAAGGATTATGTTAAAGTCTGTCACATTTTGTTTACATTTGTTTTTAACCCTGTAGCCAGCTGTGCTTTAGAACCCAACTATCAGGGGATGGTTCTGACTGTGACAATATTAATATTGTCAGGTTTTATATTTGATTCAAGCTACGATCTAATTATGCTCTGTTTATGTGTATCTAAGAGAGAAAGCTTACCCAGATGAGGATGAAGCCATCCAAAAAGTAAAGAAACTTATGATCCACTTTATTTCACCGTACAAGAGATCACCTGTTGTGAGTGATTTCATAAAAACAGATTAATAATAATAATAATAATAAATAATATCAATAGTGCCTGCAGTTATGCACATTAAGTACTAGGTGAATTTAGGCATGGTGGTGGCACTCCAAAAATTTTTCAATCTATTAAAAAAATAACTACAACGTTGTAGGCTTAAAACATTGCATCATATAGTCGTAGCACCAAGAACTGTGAGGCTTGTCAGACTATGCGGATCAAACTGTCGAAAGGACTTAGGATTCTCTAAAGACCTATAAGGATTGATTGCATCGCTGTTTATTTTTTTATTTTTCCCCTCAATGTGATTGTGGCAATAATCCATAAATTTATATTTGTATTTTTCTGCCGCCTTATCGTAGAGGTTTAGTTTTTGGTTCAAAATGCAACTCAAGATAATATTTGCTTTAAGTCGAACTGCTTCCAGGAGCTTCCTGTTGTTCAAGCGAGTTCAAAACAACTACTTGAGTCTACGATACAGTCTAGTGTGTTCAAGTTCATTTATTTCTACAATGTAAAGAGCAATTATAAATATTCCAATTTTACAACAAAAAAGGGTGGTTATTACGGAACTCCTTCTCTCCCCAAGCCTTACCCTTGCCCTTAATGTCTGGGTGGGGGAGGGGCAGGAATGCCATATATGAAACATATAGGTATGTGCCGCTGTGAAGGGTATGGTTTTCAAGCAACTCAGTCTGGTTTAAAGTGGGAATTGACACTTGGAAAAAAATAAAAACAACAAATCTTAATTTACCTGCAACTCAGTTAAATAGCAAAGAAAGTGTCAACCTAGGTAATTTCTGGGAAATAGTGACTTGAGGGAGTTTAGTCTAGTTTAGGGTAGAAACTTTAACTGGGGATGCAACATAACTTTAACATAGACCTAAAACCGTAAAGACTGTAAGGTTCTTCAGAGTTTTGTGCACAATTTTGCCTGATCTACCAAAGTTGCAGAAAAACAATCACATTCTGGAATGTTCTGCCTTTCAAGGAGTTTCACAAGTCCCATATCTACATGTAATAAACAACATCTCATGATGTGTCAAACTTAGACAGCTGCCTGGAAGGGCATAGATCTTTACAGTAGAGCCAAGCAGATGACACACACAGCCAAAGCTCAGTGGCAAATCTAGAGGAAGGGCCTGAGTTCCACTTTATTTTTAGACCACACTAATGAGAGCACCTAAACAGCTTAAGATTTTTTAAATGGATTGCACAATTAATAAGCCAAAAAAAAGTATTTTCAATAGCTTATGGATGGCTAGATGGTGAAAAGCTAATTTTACTTTAAATTGCTAACAATACAAGGTAGCTTTTGGGTTGAGAGGCTACACAGTTTACTCCGTAAATACAAGTACCACATTTCCGTGATGTTACCTTAGAGAGCTGTTTCTTTCAGAACCAGTCCTATCCACATATGCATAATTTTTTTAAAAAAGGCAGATTTCCTTTAGAGAGGGCCTTTTAAAACATCATGTGGTCTGTCTTGGAAAACAAAACATACATAAGTCAAGATTACATAGGAGATTATAGAAATATATCTGTTATTGCCCAGTAAGTTGCTGACAAGCCTATCAATGATCGGAATCAGGAGACTCTGTAAAATTCAGAAACGAATGGCAGACGGCAGATGCGGAAGGCAGATGGCAGACAGTGGATGGCAGAAAATGATAAGGAATTAGGAAATACATAACATAAATAAATCAATAAGAAAGACAACTTAATAAAAATTTAATGGATAAAAATAAATACATTAAATTCACGATGTCAGTTGTAACATTTTTGTTCTGTTGAAGAGCAAATAGAAGAAGTGAGCAGACATGTGGCTCAATCAAATGATGTCATGGTGGGGAGAAAGGATATGGCTTGTTCTGTCTTTTCAGTTTACAAAATTCATGTTCTGTATGGTCCCTGTCTTTGTTGAAGAGGAAGAGAATGGAAAAGAACAGCTACGCCGGAGAAGTATCTGGCTGGGAGGTAAGTTAATTTTTTAGTTATCTTTCTGTGATGTTTGCAGGTTTCTGCTCCTCATAGGCTTTTGTGCATTATGCTTTTATTTCTCCACTAAAATGCTCCAGTTTTTTAAACTAAAATGCTTGATAATGCCTATCACCAGAGGCTTTTTTACTATGTTTTAATACTTAAAAGTGGTATAACAACAACATATACAAATTAGTATAGGTAATAGCATGATTTGTAGTGATATTTGGCATAAATACCATGAGTGACATTTCGAAATTGTTACACATAATTTCACAAGCCGTTAGGCGAGTGAAATTTGAGGCAATTTTGAAATATCACGAGTGGTATTTATGCCAAATATCACATACAAATCATGCTATTATTTGTTTATACTACTACCCGCAAAAGGTTTGTAATTTTCACTTGTCGGTATTTCAAATTAAGCTGAAATACTACTGCTCTAAGCCAATCAAATAATTTGCAGAAATCTCTCATGTAGTGGTATAAATGGTGTAAATACAGCAAAAGATAATCCTCTAAATGGAGGTACTAGGGTAGCATTTGAATTTGTCAGGGTTGGCCAAGTAGACTGCGCCCACCTCTTTTTCTGTGAAATTTTAAATTATTTTTAAAGAATTCTCAATAAAATAAATAGTATCTATGTACTGGCAAGTGTGCAGGCCACCCCTTTCTCAATTTTCTGGATCCTTCCCTGCTATTACAACGAGCTTCCCAGACATATTGATATGGGAGTCCTAACCCATCGCCATCCCCACTCCAATTGGACTCATCAAAATGGCGGCTGCAAAATAGCTCCAGAAGTGAACAGATAGCAAAATGTTATGTTTTTCAAAAGACAAAAAATAATTAACCCATATATTTTTTTTCATTTCCAAACAATCTCATTGTCGAGGTTGAGCTTTCTGTGCTACAGTTCATGCATGCATACATGTACATATTGCTCGAACTTTGAAAAACCAAGAAGAATGCTAAGCATCTTTTCCAATCCTGGGAAAATTTGATCAAATTTGTAATAAGCAAGAACAGGACCACGATTAATTTATGAGTTAATGAAACCAGTTTTTTTGGTCAAGAGGTTAAAGGAAAATCTGATAAATTCAGTTGTATTTTGTAAAAAAAAACTATTTGAATATGTCAATGCTTGTACGGAAAAAGATTTAAGTCTTAAATACTCTTTCCCGTTAATTTTCAGTGAAGAGGATAACAGGGTGTTCAAAGAAAGGTGAGTAGCAAGGTTCGCATAAGGTGTTCAGCAGGCATGGTCATAAGAGACTGGATTCTTCCACTGTTAGAGATACACACATGTGAATTACTGAAGTATATCATTCTATAATTTTGATTGAGTATAAAACAAAAACTGTTGTGCAGAACGACTAGTTCGTTTGAAGAAATTAAAGTTCTCGAAGTGTGATGCCCACAAATATCGCGAGAGGCGCAGGGAACTCCTTCTCTCACATCCAGGCTCGATCTTTGAAATTAATATTAATATTGAATAAACAAATAACTAAACAAATGTATATACCTTCGGATGCCGTCTGCATCTACCGTCCGATTCCAGTCCCACAAAACAGGCCTGATTTGTTCTCAAAGTTCATCATCTACCAGGACCGGCCATGGGTTTTGGGTATTTGGGTTTCTGGGGTCTTTTTTTCACATATACGGTATTTTGGCGTTACAGTACGGATATTTAATATCTTGTTTTTCTAAATTTTTGGTATTTGGCATTTAGACACAAGTTTTTGAAGATTTTTTTGATATATGAATGTATGTTGACACAGCAACTGAAATGTGTTCAATAGAAGTTTGCCAGGGATTGGGAATGGGAAGGAATGGATAAAGCTCACTGACTGCATTGCACCAAAATTTATTCATTCTGTCTTTGGGTGTATTAATTATCTTTCAGCAGACGGTCCAACCATCCCAATTTCGTTGGGATTGCCACAATTTTGCTTGAAAATCTCGAATCCTGACAACGGAACCAGCATGGCTGAGCACTGTGCTGGACTTGCAATTCAGAGGCCCCTAGTTCAAGTCCCACTGTGACCGCTGTCTGGATTTGTTCACATAGTCCTGAGTTCAAATCCCTCACCGCACTCGTAAATAACCAACTGGTTTGCCTGCGGCCAGTTGGGATTCTTAACCCTATGTTATGATTGATTATAACTATATGAATTATTAAATTATGGTTCAGTCATTTGCTTCTGCCCTACTAGTATAACTACTATATTTATAGTAGTTATACTAGTAGGGCAGAAGCAAATGACTGAACCAAAATAAAGTATTTACTGCCAAGGGTAAATAAAGGAATTTTTTTCTCTCTTTGTTCTTTTCTGTCTAATATGTGATCAGGATGGGAAAAATCACGATTCTTGCATCTGTGATGATATTTTCATCCAATTCTTAACATACTTGTACTAGAACACCAGATAGAGTGTAATCAACTGAAACTGATATTTCAAAAACTAAAGAAGCTGCAAGAAATATAACTTAAAATTGAGTACAGGGGTTTCAATAGAAATTGAAGTAGCCAGCAGGTTTGAATAGTGTAACCGACTCAACATTAGGGGCCAGGTCTCAGGGCACGTTCTGCCCCAGAAAATTTTGAAATTTCAAAGCCTTAAAATGTGATTTTCAGTGTTCTGGGGAGTAAACTTGATGACTAAAGAGAGTGTTCTTATTGAAGAATATGTAGTGTTCAATTTATCAGACACCCATCAACTCCTACAAGCAAGAACAAATGATTAAAACTAAATTACATACTTATCCACATAAACAAATTCTGCGTAAACCTATAAAGAAACTTCTGCAAAATGACTGAAATATAGCTTTCACGTGACTAAAGCATAATGTAAAACCAGTGGCCTTTACGAAAACACATCATAATTATGTTTTCATTCAGATTTTATGATATATTTTTTGTTTACAACGTTTTTCAAACTAATTGCTTCTTCTTTCTCGAAAAAAGTAGCCGACCTGTATGAGCAAAGTAGCCGATGCATTTTGTTGGCCGTCGGTGCTTATTGAAACCCCTGCGAGTACTTGTATGTATGCCAAGTGACAAAGCAACGAAGGGGTTTGTAGCTACGTGTGCCATATTGATGGTCCTTTCTAGATGACTGGTCAATCTGATCGTGTACATGAGGTACCGTTCTTCCTGTTCTAGTGGCTCTCAGTGTGTCAAAATATCGAAAAACATCTTTCAGCGTTTTAGTTACGTTATGAAAACTGATGGGTCATCGAAGACCAAGAGAAAGAAGTTAGCCTGTCAATTTCAATTTCCATTATGGGAGTTCAAAATATCAAAATATTCACAGTCCCTTTCTAGAAAAGTGTTTTCTAATACTATCCAATATTGATACAAGCATAAAAATGACAATCAATTTACTAGAAATAGCAGTTTGGAGCTTCAAAATTTCAAAATTTACCGGAGAGCAATGTCCCCATACCCCAGCCTATCGTTTACGAAATTTCCCATTTTTTCCATCTAAAAAGGCATTTTTTTTCAAGGCAATTTCAGAGACTACCCCCGCCACCCACCCCCTGGCCGAGCCTGATGTACAGTATATATCTACTTTTATTTCATTTAACTATGCGGCTTGACTTGTATAGCAATTTATTAGGAAAAACAAAAACAAATGTGATATGTGATATTCGGGAGAATGAGCCCACTTCCGGGACTGAATTAACAAGTCAAATATATATAGGTGCACGCTAAATCTACTGTACATCAACTTAAATTCACATTTCAGAGTTCCAGAGAAAGCACTGGACGTTGAAGTTGTGCACATCCCACACATCCCATCTCATTTACACATCCCAGCCTAACTGTGAGAGGTTAAGAGCAGACTTCCAACTTAAGCTTAAATAAGCTTACATTCTTCAACTTGTATCAACATGAATTTTCAAAATACGACCTGAATAGTTAAGCTTACAAACACTCTAAAATATTACACATCCATCACCGAAGAAAACTTGAACAATTTATACAACGAGCAATTAATACTTACATGTGGAGAAACTGAAAATCACCGTAACAAACCTTCGTTAAATATGAAGAGAACTTGCAAGCTTTCTAAATGCAGGATGCTTGTGTTGATCATGTGACCAAAGCATTTTTCACTCGACCCAGGTCACGCACATATGTCGGTCACGCGAAGGTATCGTTTGTTCCCAGGGTGTGGGGTATTTGTCATCAACGGTCTGTCCGACCAGGCCTAGCGTAGCTGGCGAGATTTTTGCGGGGGGTTGCTGTCGTTTTTTGGCGTCGGAGCCGCGAGAGGTTTGGGAGGATTTTAGAACAAAAAATGGCGCGCGCATAAGAATAGGGAGCTAATGTATAACAATTATTCACCGAGGTAAGGTAAGGTAAGGTAAGAACTTTATTTTAGCACGATAAAAAGATCAGCATTGCAGGTGGGGTAGTGCATACA